ATGACACTGGTGATGGGGATGCCATACAGATTCATGTCAAAAATCCCGAACTATCCCTTTAAGATCTTTATTACGATTTGAAACATATTATATGAGTGTATTTTTTTACCAACCATCTAATGACCTGTACACAGTTATAAAAATAGTAATTAAAAACACCACTGTTCAACAGTTCACCATCATGTTGAAATGTGGCATGTGTTATATATAAATAAATATGTATAAATATGGTCCAGTGCCGTCAGTCTCGTCAGGATCAGGTGGGTTTAAAGGGGAACACCGTTTTTCTTTTTTTACACTGGCCCATTGATTTTACGTTATTACATCATGTTCTACTCATCCATATGAGTTTTTTGTCATTTGGAGCTGTTCTGGAGATATTCTGTTAGGTTATATCCAAGTAAAGTCTTCCTATGAGCAACGAGTTGAAGACTGAACTGTTCATAGTTTATAATTTATGGTAAGCCAGCATTCATAACATGTAGGCCAATCACTGTGGGTCCCCTAAACAATTGTAGACTAGGACATCTCTTTGCACAAATAATTGTGCAAAAAATTCCTCTTAAATGGGAACGCTGTTTTTTTTTTTTTTTTTTACATTGGGCCCTTGATTTTTGGTTATTACATCATGTTCTACTCGCTCATATGAGTTTTGTGTCATTTGAGGCCGTTCTGAAGATATTCCGTTAGGTTATATCAAGGTAACCCCAGGCTCACACCGACTCCGGTTTTACCGTTGCGGTGCGGCGCCGCAGTGATTCCAAGTCATTAAAAAGACGTAAACCTCTCTCACCGGCTGCTGAGCTGTACGGCAGCGGTTACCCAGACACTCCGCTGCAGAAAATTCCGCAAGAAAGCTATCCTTGCGGCGTGCCGGAGCCCTCCGCAACAAGCTCTCGCAAATATCCTTATTTGGGCCGTGTTATCGCGTGAAGTTACGTGAACTCAAGTGAACTTCTGTTCTCGCGAGTTAAACCTCCGGACCTGTTGCCGGAGCCGCACCGCACCGTAGTCAAAAGGGCGGTGAGAGGGGGTGTGCGGGAGTTGCGGTCTCCGTCGGCTCGGTAACCGCACCGGAGCCAGTGTGAGCAAGGGGTTATGTCTTCCTATCGGCAACGACTTGAAGGCACAAACTAAACTGTTCATAATTTATTCTTTATGGTACGCCAGCATTCATAACATGTAGGAGAATCACTGTCCCCCAGACATCTGCGGTTATATTATATATATTTATATCTTTAAAAAAAAAGGAGCTCCAAATGACAAAAAACTCATATGGGTGAGTAGAACTTTAACAGTGAATAATCTTCAGTTTTGGGAAGGACAGAAAATGCTTTTTAAGGACAGAGCAACATTGACGTCATCATTGTTTTTAAAGATAAATGTGAATAAAAAGCATTTCACTGACAGACCCACCTTCCTCTGGCAGCACCGTTAGTAAGCAGAGTACTGGTCAGCAACTCCTGACCAAACCTCGCAGCAACGTGAAGCGGAGTGTTTCCATTGACATCCACACAATCAATCTCCCCACCTGAAAGTAGGAGACATTGCACATGAGCTCCATCCTATGATCACAATCAGCTCATGGTGATCCAGTGGGAAGCTAGTTACCGTTTTGGATCAGAATCTGGGAGCTTGTGAAGCGACCGTGAGCAGCAGCCATGTGTAAAGGGCTTTTTCCTTCTTTATTCTGTTCAACAGATTGAAAACAAATAAAACATCTCACTTAGTCCAGGTCTCTAACTCACTTTCAAAAAAAAAAAACATCTTTAGTAATTTTATCAAGAGAGAAACACAAATGAACAATGAAATGTTGATTTTGCATTAATATAACAGGAAGTTTGATGATGTTTGCCTTTCATAACCAGGTTTTTGTGGTGTTATACAAAGAGAAGTGGGAAAGGAAAGTTACTGACCAGAAACCTCATAAATAATCTTATTTTCTATCCTGTTTTATCTTTTTGTGCTTTCAGAAAACATGAGCAGGAGGGCCAAGGAAGGTTCAAATGGATTAAAAAAGGCTTCTTAAATTAATTTCTTCCAAAACAGTCAGTTTTACCTGGATATTAACGTCGGCACCATTGTTGACCAGGAGCTCGAGACACGGAACGCCACTGGATGAGATGGTGGCCAGATGCAGCGGTGTGTTGCCTTGGTGGTTGGCTTGGTTTATGTTGGCGCCACAGTTCACCAGCTCAGTGGCTACGCAGTCCTGACCCATGTAACAGGCCATGTGGAGCGCCGTGTTGCCAAAACTGTTCGGCTCGTCGACCTGAAAGTACGCAGCAAGAACGGTTAAAAGTTCAAAATCGATCCGTTTTAAACTCGTCAAAGAATTTGGGTTAAACGTTCACATCCTGCAGATTTTGATTGCATTAAAAAAAAAAACACCTTTATAGCAATATGTTGGTTCATAAGTCTGTGCTTCTTTCATAAGTACAGTATACAAGTTTTGGTTTCTAGGGGAGAAGAAAGGGATCCTATATTTTATCGCTAACTTTGAGGTGGGGGTGGGCGATATATCAAATTAATGTCTATTGGGTTTCCCCACCCACGATAGTTAAAATGACTCTATTGCAACCATCGAGTATAAATTTGCATGACAATATTAAAATAAAAAATTATTTGAACTTTATTGATCTCACATTGGAGAAATTTATCTCCGCATTTAACCCATCCCCTTGGGGAGCAGTGGGCTGCCACCGTGGGGCACTGAGGAGCAGCGTGGGGTTAAGAGGCTTGCTCAGAGACACAGAGTTAGAGTCTGTGGGAGTGGGGCTCAAACTCAGAACCTCAGGATTCCACTAAGCCGCCACTACCCTCAAAAACTTGTTCAATTCATTAAATATTGAAAGATAACTGATGTTATCTGGAAATTTATGGGACTGGTTTATGGTTTACCTCCACCCGCAGTCTCAGAAGGAACCTGACCACGTCCGCATGTCCGCCGGCAGCAGCGACGTGGAGCGGACTGTAACCGTATTTGTCTTTGCACATCACATCTGCAATGTGGGACGCCAGCAGCTTCAAAACGTCCAAATGTCCTGAAAGAAAAGCTTTAACTTTACTGCAGGAATATTAAATTCTTTCCCAAAGCTGCACAACTTGTTCACCTGCTGTTAAATAATCAGCAAACAGCACTTAGGAGCTAGCTTAGAATAAAATGACTGCCTGGTGTGACAGAGACACAGACGAGTATTTTCCCTTTCAGTGACAGACTGCTAATGAGATTTAAGATTGGTTTAAACAAGTCAGGCAGGTTTGCCTTTAAATAATAGTAATTTGCTGCTCATACATATCGTATGAGCAACTAGTCTCAGTTCAGATTCCTAGAGTTCACATCAGCTGTAGTTCGCAGTCACTATTGGTGATCAGGAAGTTCTTCCTTTTGCCCCAATATGAGACACATTATTTCAGGGGCGATCAGCCTTTCACGACCACCTCCAGATCAGGAATCAGGAGGTCGGGAGAAAATCAAACACATTGATTTTCATTTGGCCATTGTGGGCAAATCACTCAGTGCGTAAAACAAGGATTCTTCTTCTTCTTCCTCCTCGCAGAGGAAAACACAGAAGCATGGCGGGGGTGCGAGTGAAATTAAGTTCTTTCTGAAAAATTAACAGACCATAGTAGACACGTTTGCTCAGCCGTGTCTTTGTCCAAATACGTCACTGCCTTTTTTTTTAGGGCTTTCAGTAGAAAAATTACACAAATTGCCAAGGTAGCGTGTTTTAATCTAGTGAGCTTTATATTCCTCTTCTACTCGTTTGCGGATAGAAGAGTCCAAGCAGCGCCATCTCACAGAACTGAGTCCAACGTAGTTTTAGACGTACAGTGTGAGCGTTGTGCAGCACAGTGTGAGCACTGTACTTAGTACACTGAGCACTTATCTAGAAATAAGTACAAATTTCTTACATTAGGTGTATTAACCCTTAATTTGAGTAGGTAAATGAGATAGTTTGCCAATTGAATGAATATTTTTACTCTTAAAATAAGATAATTAGATAACATGCACTTGAAATATAATTTCTTATTTTAAGTGTAAATTGTCTTGTTCCATTGGCAAAGTGTCTCACTTACCTCCTAATTCCAAGAGCAAATGCACTTACTTTAAGAAAAAACTGACATCTAGATTTTGATTTTTTCCAGTGAGAACATACATCGTGAGCTGTGAACTCACACTGTAATGCACAGTGCCAGCTGTAGCTGCGTGCAACAACTGAAAAAAATAAATAAAAATCGCACAATGTGTGCGCGGCTTAAGAGGAACGTCATGGCTTCTCAGTATTCTCAGAATCCATACTGAAGGAGAGTTATTCTCCAGCACTGCGGTATTTCCAGTAACTTTCAGAAGCACTAACCCTAGAAGTTAAAGGTGAAGCCTTGTGACTAAAGTTTACACAGTGCTGCTTTAAAAATTTTTATTTAGACAGAGTCAGACAATTTAGACAGAGGTTTGCATTTCCCAATGACTATTATTTAAACTTTTTCTTTTTTATTAGGAGGAACATGGAAAGATGCCTCCTTTATTCACCACAAAACTGAATGTTCTTGTTTCCAATAATAAAATCTTAAATTCATGCAAAAGATAGAAAAGTAAATCAAATTTGCTTACCAAGATGTGCAGCCCAGTGAATTGGCTGTCTTTCCTTCTTATCTTTGGCATTTGCACTGGCTCCTTTACGCAGGAACAGATTAACCATCTGGAAAACACAAAACCTGGGTAAAGAAAGGTGTCTGCGTTGCCGGACTAATGAGACACACAATTACCCCGTCTGTTTGAAATTACAGGTCACAATTCTGCACACCTCTACACACAGAATAAATATTTCTGAACAAGATAAATAGGATTTTATTTGCCACAATAATATACCAGGCCATCATTTGTTTTATTACAGGATTTACTCCCTAATCTGGTCATAAAGGGTAAAAATGAGGTTTCCAGAGAATTTTTTGTCCGTTTTGTCATCTTTAAATGTTACCTCAGCGTGTCCACTGTGTGCAGCGTGATGCAGAGGCGTTCTTCCCAACTTGTCTGTAACATCCAGGCTGCAAACATGAGGGATGAGGACTGCAGCGCAACCTGTGGCCCAGTTGGCCGCCGCCATGTGTAGAGGTGTATGCCAGAATTTGTCCCTTGCGTTGATTTCTGCTTTGTGTTTTAGCAGCAGTCCAACAGCTCTCTGGGATTTAAAAAAAAAAAAAAACAAATCTTAAACTGCTTTTTCAAATGCATTAGTTGAAAAAAAGTCAAACAAAGTACTTCATTTCTTGAGGCTGCTGCTCGATGTAATGGAGTGAGTAAGCCCTGGTCCTTACAGTTCACATTTGCACCTTTTAAGGAGAGCAGATAAAAAAATAATAGTGAAATCAGACAGACGTATTGGTCAATTTAAATCACCAAGCAGTAATTTTCAGCACATGTACAAATAATGGCTTCTCTGTTTTACCTGCATTTATAAGTAGTTCCATGACATGGACATCACCCAAATAAGCAGCAGCATGGAGGGGTGTGCTTTGATCTTGGTCCTAAAATTCAAAATGTCTTTCTTAGGAATTCAGTGACAGCGAGATACAACTTTATAACCCAAATACCAGAGTTCATTTATAAAAATATGAGCTTCCGACAGGATGAGCCTACCTGAGCGTTAACACTTTCATTGTGCTCCAGCAAGAAAGCCACATCCTCAGCATTTCTGCTAAATATGGCCTGGATCAGTGGAGACTGAGGAACACAGTGGACAGCCAGCATACATGATAAGTAGCATAGATTATAAGTAGCATAAAGGGATAGACGCTATTAAAATCACCCTATTTCCAATCTGTTTATAATTTCCAATCTAGTAAAAGATTTATACTTTATAATATCGCATTTTTAAAAGCATTTTTTTACGTGACGTTCAAGAAATGAAACACAACCTCCATGATAAAGAATCTGTGAGACAATTAGCCGGTGGGAAAAAACTTTCCTCGTAGTGCAGCTTTGATGATTAGCAGCTGTCTACAACAGCAGGATAACTTTTCCAAACTTTACAAATAAAAATGCAAAAGCAATATTTACTACCTGCTCTTTGATACTTCTCAACTCCATGTCTCAATCACTCAGGAAGACTTCATTGAGACTTTGTGCAGACTTAGCAGCATATCGGCTAGTTAGCCTAGCTTTAGCTTGTTTGGCAACCGGGATGTTTGGAGCAGCTGTAGAATATCGCGAGAGAATATCGGGGAACGGGATTTCAGTTTTTTTTTTTTATATTTTGTATGATTTTTTTTTGCTTGTTTTTGGAAGTGGTGCAGTCAAGTTAGAAGCTTCTTTAAAAACTTGAAGAATCAGATTAAGATCTATGAGAAAATCTAAAATTAGGGTGATATTGAAATAGTTAAATCTCATTCGGGGGAGTTTAAATACTGATATGCCCAATATTTTTTTTTACATTTTAACACCACATTTTTAATTAATTAATCATCTTTTTTAAAGTAAAAATATATATTTTTTATAATTTATTTAAATCCCTGTTATTTTTCAATCAACTTTGGAAAAAGAAATCTCTATTCTCCCACTCTGAAGAATCTATTACTTCAATCTCTAACGTTCTGCTCTCTCTGCTTTTTCTCATAGCTTTGCCTCGTCTGTTCCTGTTTGGCTGTGACATCACCCTGGAGAGGAATATTAGCTGTGCTGCTGCCATCAACACCTTTGTTTATAGATGCTGGAGATCAGCCTGTTTCAGTGTAGTCCTGTTTCTCTGACTGTGACTGGTTGGATGTGCTCTGTTTAATCCTCTGACATGGGAGCTGCCTTGGGGCCGCTTGTGGAGCTAGTTGACAGTTACCTTTTATATCTCTGCATCTTTTTCTATAACGGCTTCTGTCTCCTTGAACCCCAGTTGGCCTCAGCAAATGGCTGCTCACATTGCCCCTGGTTCTGCTGAAGGTTTCTTGGACAACTTTCATTGTCATTTTGTATACACAGAGCATATACAAAACTAAATTTAATTTTGTTCAGCTTTAATGACATTTCCATTCCATAAAGTGCATCAGTGAACCAAAGTAAACAGTGTGGGAGAAAAAACATGGTGCAAAAAAACGCCTTTATATGGAAGTTCACAGCATTAAATATATATGGTGCAATTATGCAGTGTTTTGGTTTGGTGTTATCGGTGTGATGCACTGTGACACGATATAGAGTTTTCTCAACAGTTCAGCTGTCTGATGGTGGTGGGGAAGATGCTGTTTTGGAACCTACTGGTCCCACACTTAATGCTGCAAAATTTCTTCCCAGAGGGCAGCAGGGAAAACAGTCAACGGTGGGGATATGAGGGGTAATTTATGATGTTACGGGCTCGGGACACGCAGCGCTGGGATGAAATGTCTTTTATGGAGGGAAGAGGGGTGCCGATGATCCTCTCTGCTGTTCTCACCACTCTTCTCACCTTCTTCCAGTCTGCAGCGCTGCAGCCTCCACACCACACAGTGAGACAGCTGGTCAGAACGCTCGCTATGGTCCTTCTGTAAAAGGTGGGAGGATGGGTGGGGGCAGGTGGGCTCTCCTCATCCTTCGCAAGAAGTACATGCGCTTCTGTGCCCTTTTGACAATTGAGGTGGTGTTTAAAGTCCAGGTGACGGTGTCTGTGATGTGCTCCCCAGGTTTTTGGTGCTGCTGACCACCTCTACAGCTGAGCTGTTGATGAGCAGTGGAGCATGGTTAGGACGGTTCTTCCTGAAGTCCAAGATTATCTCCTTTGTCTTCTCCACGTTCAGGATCAGGTTGTTATCTTTGCACCAGTCCACCAGCTTCTCCACCTCCTCTCTGTAGTTCAGGTTGTTGTCGTCTCTGATGAGGCCCACCGCCGTTGTGTTGTCTGCAAACTTAACGATGTGATTGGTGGTGAACCTGGGGACGCAGTGTCATCAGAGTTAAGAGCAGGCCGCTCAGGATGCAGCTTTGCTGAGGGAAGCCTTTTGCTTAGAGAGTGTTCTGTCCGACCCGGACTGACTGAGGTCTGTTGGTGAGCAGCCGATTGCAGAGGGCTGTATTGAATCCCAGCTGTTCCAGATTTCCTATCAGATGCTGTGGGATGATGGTGTTGAAAGCTGAAGTAAAGTCCATGAACAGCATCCGCACGTGGGTGTTCTTCAAGTGTGCCAGGCTCAGGTGGAGAGCAGCAGAGATGGCATCCTCAGTGGAGCGGTTTCATCGGTAGGCAACAAACTGAGAAGTGGACCATAGCAGCATCTTCAGCTGAAGGTCAGCTGACACCACTACAACTTTTCTCTGCAGCTTTGTACATTCTTATCATGAACTTTAAAATCTGAACATCCGTTGTCATCCTTAATAGGTCTATGAACAAACAATGTGAAATTACAAAACATGAGAAGTTTATTTATTTGAAACTCCACAAAATAATATAAAAGCAATCTTCATAGAAAAATATTTTATATAATTTCTTCTGTATTGTTTGTAACTGAATGTGTCCCATGCCAAAGTTATAGATTTGCTTTTTTGCACCTCTAGCTGCAGCAGCATGTTTGCTGAATAAGTTACATTCTATTCGCCTCTGAGGTAGGACACCAGGCTTCTGCTTCATTAGTAATACTGATTTAAAATTATTAAATACAGCAAAACATGAGCATCATGAGTACTTTTCCTCTCTTATTAACTGATTGCAACAGCTATGCTTGGAAATAATAAAACATTTCCCCCACTTTAGCTGGCATTTAAACACCTTTTGATAGGATTATTTCTAATATAATTTGTCTTCAGCTATGTATTTTAGTCCATTCCTTAACTACTAAGCGGTACAAGGTTTTGAAAAATCTATTGAAAAAGAGCTAGAAAAACAACATATTCTCTGATTTATCAGTTTTAAATAAACAACCGTTAATAAATATGTATTTATCCTGCATTTGCTTAAGAAAAATAAAGGTTGGGGTTTTATTTGTAAAGGTTCAATGTTTGTTTTTTTTATCTGTCAGAATGTGATAACAGAATACATGAATAATCTATAATCTTTCTCTTTATAATTTAAAGGTATTCAGATAAAACCTAAATTCCACTCTACCTACATAGGGACCTCAAGCACATAAGGTAAAAGCTTTACTGTTACGGTTCTC